GCCAAATACACTTTAATGGCGTCGTGAGGCTTTCAACTACTCATTTTATTCTGGTGACTTAAAATATTGGTCTTAATATCCCTTAAGCGACCTAAGCAACCTCAGCTCCTTAGTCAGCCGAAGTCGACTTGACTTTCCGTTTTAAGCCTCCTTATCTTGGATTAAATTGGTCCCATCTCATTTCCAGACTAGCCTTTATCTGGTACGATTCCCTGCAGAACAGAGCGGAGCAGGGATTTTCTATTTTTAGTTAGAGCCAGTTTATAACTTGTCTCTCTCGACACGCGGCTCACCGACAGGCAATGAAGAGTTCTGGAGCCACTTTTGGGATAGCCTTCAGACGAATACGGTGCTCTCGACTTGAGTAGAAGTCGAGTGGGAGCAAAGTTGACACCAGACCAGTGCTTAAGTCCACCTGAAAATTGCCTCTCTGCCCGGCCATCCGAACGGCTGGACCAGCTGCGGCTGTTCCGAGGCCGGGGCTAGTAAACAGGGCACGTGGACTACCAGACCTAGGTCCGACCCGGGTCAGCCAGCTTGATCCTCGCCATTCGGCTGGATCAGCTGACTCATATCCGTTCAGAAATTGGTCTTCTCCTCCGCGATCGTCCTGGCCAAGGTTGTCTTCACCCTCTTCTACGATCTCCTCATCGGTTGCCGCCACTTCTTCCTCCTCGAGGAAGAACTCAAATGCGTCGGCCTCGTCAACCAGTCCCTCGACCTGATCGGCAATGGTCAACTTTCTGACTGATGACACGCCGACGGCCTCGTCTACCAAAGACGACGGAGCTGAGGTTGGCTGTGGATTCGATGGACAGGTGTAGCGCAGTCCCAGGCCCGGACTGTAGACGCAGGGACGAAGCAACGGAGTGTTGGCCGGCAAGCCTTCGTCGACGTGAACGGTGTACTCGGCCTGCGAGAAACGAGGCTGGCCAATGATTGCCGAACTCGGCGAAAGATGGAACAGGGTGTCGCTGTACAGGTTGCCTACTACCTCGATTGTCACCTGAAATGGACACAGGCAGCAGCAGTATTTGTACGCATGAAGACATTAAGTTATTCTTCGTCATGGGGCTGACTTAAGGCCTAACCAAATCGGTCAACTCAACAAGAGTTCTAGCATGTTGAGCTTACTTTGATTTCGGGTGAAAGTGTTTAGTGAAGAGATTCGATGATCGGTTCCACCAGAAGACGACGGCGGATTCCTCTTGACCAGCTGTCGATTGGCTTTTCTGGAACATTCATGCTGACGCTGTTTCCGCTAACTTGAATTTTGTTGTGACGATGATACCTTGCTCTGAGGATGTTCGTCATATGACGGACGAAAGCTTAGCACCTTTCCACCGGAACCGAAAGAGATCACCTCGGAAACAGCTTCAGCATGAATCTGCCAGTAGAGCCAATCGACAGCTGTTCAAGAGGAATCAGCCGTTGTCTTCTGATAGAATCGACCTTTGAATCTCTTCACCCAACACTTTCACTCTAAATGGAAGTAAGCTCAACAATTATGAAACAAGAGATTCCTCGAAACCCAACTTTTCTTCGCGAATAGTTCTAGCCGCATTCACATTCGTTTACAATAATCTTAAAATCATTCTCTAACCAGACGTACGGGATTACGTAATTCTGTCATAATTTGATTAGGGTCTTTAACATTTGATGACCCGAGAATAACGTTAGGCTCTTTTTTAAGTATTCTGAATTATGACCAGTATTTCGGGCGATAACTTCGACTTTTCAAGTTTCCAGCACATGCAAATTCACACACACACACATATAAACAAATACAAAACTATCAACCCCAAAAACCACACACACACACACATACATGTAAATAAACACGCACAAATATACACTCACTATAATATGCGCACACATGAACATACACAAATATACACTTAAGCATGAGTATCATAATTAAATTAGAAATAACTAAACAAATCATTTATTATCGTCTTATCTCTGCCTACATATTTTCGTGAGTAAGTATATACAGCATGTAGGCTTGAGCCGGCTAATCTTGTCGATTTAGCGAAAACTTAAAGCTTTTGCAAGAATGACTACGTTTATTATATGCTGGATGAATACTTAGCCAGTTTTCTTCAGAAAGGAGTGAGGAGGTATTGAGGGCTGCATAAACCTAAATGTCAAAGTAAAATCAAACGACTGTATAACAATGGGAATCAGCCGTATTCTTACGGTGAGCTTGAACTACAAATCACTTAATTAGGCATTTTTTACATGAAACCAAAGTCAACGTAGCACTGACTTATTCCACTCAGTTCACTCAAGTGGTTAAGATACTGATCTATCTCAGTTTCCAGCCTCCATTGTGGCATGACTCTTCATTTTGAAGGTAAATTTGGTTGGAATGAATTCGTGATGTGATCTCACCGTAAACCGAAGCAAGATTGTTGAATTGTGCCAAGAATTCCTCGGCTCAACATCCTGCGATACCGATGAAACTGTGCCAATCTTTCGTCTGCACTGTGACAGACGTCATCAGAGCAAGTTTCCATACTATACGAAATAGGGAAAAAAAATTTTTTTTATTGGTTTAGTATATTTTTATCTATTTCTTAAAGTATGGAATCTTGATGTGATGACGTCTGTCACAGTACAGACGAAAGATTGGCACAGTTTTATCGAGATCGCAAGACGTAGAGCCGAGGACTTCTTCGCTCAATTCAACAATCTTCCTTACGCAAAAATCCTCCTTCGGTTTCAGGTGAGACCACATCACGAATTCATTTCAACCAACTTTCCCTTCACACAAACATGGTAATCATATTTTCTGACATTTGGTAAAATTTATTTTTCATCAGTATTCGCCCAGATTTAACTCTTTGCTGCCAACCCCTTATTTAGGTTGTCAATAGTATATGCAAATGGATAATTGGTCACACTTTAATGGCAACAGTTATTGCTCCACCCATTGCTGCTGCTATCATTTGTCCTTTGCGTAAAAGGTGAATCAGAACTTAGTCGACCTAGGCTGATTGAGGTGATTTAAAGATTGGTAGATGAATTTTCCTACAGTGAGATGAATAGACCTCAAGATGTTATTTAACTTCGATTAGCTTTGCCTACCAAAAGATTGTCTCATTACTGCTAGACTGAACTGCAGCTTCGACTTTGCCTTACCGACTCATTAGAATCGTGGCAATGTTACCAGTTATCACAGGGCAGATGTAACCTTCAAAGCAAGCCAACACGCTCATAAATTAGATTTACGACAGGATTGTCGATTAATCAGACATATAGCTTCCATTGCAATCGACTGCATTACTTATTTTGAGTCCCGAGACTATCAGTAAAACTTGAATTCTAATTTATTCAGCATAATTTGCCACCCATACTTATGAATTATAAGTAATTTAATTATGTATTAATTAAATAAATTTAAATAATCATTTAACAGCCAATAATTAATTATCAATCAATTGTCAATAAATAAATCGACTAAACAATAATGGTCAATAATTAATTATCAATTAGCAAATAATTAAATTTATTAATGTACAATTTATAATTAAATAATAATAATGAGATGTATTCACCCTATTTCGTGTAAGGTGATGAAGGACTGGTAGTAGAATTTTC